TCTCGATGTACACGCGCTCTCGCTCATCGTCCAGAAGTTCCACTAACCATTTATCGTTTTTCCCTTGAACGTGTCCCTTGACGTATACGACAGCATCGTCGTCATCGTTGTCATCATCTTTCGTTCCGTGCACAGCATTTGTAATCAAACTCTTGACCAATTTATTTTGCCGCGAACAATCAATGGCTGCAAGACAATAACCCATAAATTTGATATAGTTGTGCGACAGTTCGCGGTATGGTATTTTATCTGATAATAAGATATACGGAAGCGCAAAAACATGTCATATAAGACAACATATCTATGTTTGTCAAAATCTAGATTCAGATCATCGTACAGATAAAATTCTGAGTTTAGATAGAGTTTCACGTTGGTCAATTTACAATTGTCGAAGCCAAATTTATGTACTTTCATGTTATTTTTTCTGTTAATCTGCACAAAGATGACGTATCGCGGCTTCTCGAGCTGAGTCGCAGTTTTGACAGCCCAATGTTTCGTCGTTCGGCAATAAAAAGTATTCATATAGATCCCATGAACGGAAACTCACACTCAGATATCATCTGCTTTCCAAGATCCGCAGCATGGATAGTTTATTGACTTCAACATAACGTGAGGCATTCGCCATTGTACTTTGAATAATTCAAGTGTCGGTTCCATCGCAGGATCTCCCACAAGGAAATTGTTATTATTATGCGCTCGTATCAAAATCAATTCGTGACGAGCGTTAATTATCACACATTTATGATCTTTGCAAAAGCCAAACAATATGTTGAGCGGTATACAAAAATTAAAGTATCCATCAGCTGTAGTTAAAGTTTTCGCGTTATAGTAACGTAAGATAATTCTAGCATGCCACAGAGCTACAAGGTTTATTATTTGACAGCGTTGTATAGCCCTTTAGAAGACTGGTCACTCTAATGTTTCTATTGAGATCAATATCTATACCATTGAGTTCATATCAAATTTCATCAAACATGAATGAGATGCAATTATTTCCCAATGCTACATCAGATCCATCAAATTCTCTGTTCTTCGTCAATCTTCCTTCAACGTAGAGAAAACTTTCAGACGGCAACGCGTACAAATCTTGCTGTTGTATGGGTATTCTTATTTCATCGCTATATCCAAATATCATATTAACATATGGATTGTATGTGTAAATTTCTATCTTGACAAGGCAATCGTCAAAGATCGGCTGACCTCCAATGTTCAATATCAACCATCTCAGATAGCTTGTACGATAAATTCCAGTAATTTCAAAAATTTAACGTTCGACGCGTTGAGTTTCTTCCTCTTCTTGATGCAATCAGATGAGCGAATATTGTCAATGTGTTTTCTTTATAAAAAAAATTCGTTATTTCTCTGCGCGTGGTTCACTTCGTCAACACGAGCATCTCAAATGTCATGCTCGCATTATCGCTGTCGCCGGCGTACGTGCAATCTGACGGTGATTTCTTCTCCTCTGAAATCGAGCAATCATCTGTTCTGGCTTCTCAACAATGCGTATTGTTAGCTGCGTAATGCTCCGTACAAGGACTGGTAGGTAAATGCATCGGCCTTTCCGATATTTTATATTCTGGCGGCATGCTCGGCGAAAATTCGTATATCGTGTGCACACTTTTGTCGTTGCTGTACTCGCTCGCAGTCACATTACACTTTACACGAATAATGTTAAAAAAGTATTTACAAAAGACTATATTAACATAATGTATTAACATAATGACTGTAAATCATTTCTTTGCAAATAATCTTGAATTTTGTTGAACTACTAACTAAAATGTATAATGCTCTAACTAAAATGTATAATTCATGATTTATATTTGTATCCTTACATAATTTGTTCTACGTTTCTTGTAAAGGAAGTGATAAATGAAAAGTTCTATTTTTTATTTTTTGTATCATTTGCCTTTCAGGTAATTTTTTGTTAATTACAGTTCCCATTTTAACAACAGTTTGAAATGCCTTAGCTCTTTGTATGAGAATTTTTTCGAATGTGTTAAGAGATACTATTACTTCGGGTACATCATGAACAATGAGATTATTTAAAACGTAATACGCAGGCATTAATCCGTTATGGAATTTGCGTTCGCAATAATCGCATATATATTGAATTAATATTTTGTGAATTAATATTTTATTCTTTTATATATGATATTAAATCTCTCCAAATTGGAATATTTATTTGTGCTTCAAATTTATTAATTTCGGATACATTCTTTTGTAACAAAGTCTTTCACATGATACAAACATATCGAGGTGTGTCCATAGAGCGCTTAGTTAAAGCCTTAAATGTGTTTTTATATTTATAAATAATATTCTCATCATTTAAAACATTATTAGTATACTGATGTTTGTACATACAATTTGCTGTTTCTTGTGCCAAAGTTATAATTTCATTTAATGTATCTAAATCAACAGAAGTTAAAGTCGTCTCTAAATTTAACATCTTTTTATAGAAATTAATTATATGATAAATTAAACGTTTAAAATATCTGATTTTTGGAAAATGAGGAGATAACAATTGAACGAGAAGAAACATTGCTTTGCAAAAAGTTGTATCTATATAACAAATATGTGTGTAACCTAATTTTGAATTCTCTTTTATTGTACATTTATGAATCTTCTGTAATAATTCCGGTATTTTCTTGAAAGTACATGTACTTATCGCTCGAAGATTTCATAACAATCAATTAAAAGCGGATCATCGGTTTTACATAATTTGTAATAATCATGATTTTTTTGTTTGTCTTTTCATCAAAGATAACACATTTGTATTTTGATCTTTTAAGTCTACAGATTGTGATAAAGTAATGTTACGATACATAGAATCGATAAAATAATTTTCAGATGAAGTTGTATGCCTCGATTTGCTACAAAATGCACCTAATTTATTAGTAATTGTTTTAAATTTAATAGCAAGAGTCAAGCATATCTCTGATTTCTTTTTTAGTAAAGCTAACATTTTATACATACTGCGAATATAATTGTCTCGAATATGCAACAACGTACGATTTTTTCGGCTTCTAATCGTTTTTCAGTTTGATTTTTAATATCAAGTTTATTATAAATCTCTTCAATAACTTTAGAATTATGAAATTT